CATTTCACCCTTATCAAAAAAAAGGAGCTAGGGGGACTCATTCCCGAGTGACTCTTCCTTTGCTTCAGAAAACCGAACCAATTCCTGTTTTCTTACTGCTTTTACTTTAATCAACAATCACTTGACTTAGTTAGCTAGATAATAGATATTCACGGAGTAGGCAGTAGATCTAGACCCCGGGTTGATAATAGAACTTGCCACTTTACTGCATTCCCGGACTGCGATTATACTTGGTCAGTTTGGTGTTGTGTTTTAGCGTGTCATGGCCCCAATAGCAAATGGTTTGGTGTCAACTCGTACCACTTCGACCACACCATCCTTGTTTTAGGATATTAAAACTGGTGCAGCGATGAAGACACACACTTATTATAGCATGTATCCAGTCTCTACCAAGCAAAGCGTTGTAGCTAATTGCTCCATCAACAACAAAGAAAGAAGTCATTCTTGGCTACCCATTCTTACAACTACTGGTAGTATCCCCTTTGCAGTGGTGGAACCACCAATGAAGCTGGTAACAAACACTTCCGTTGGGATGAGATCACTTGTACTTTTTCCCAATTTCCTGAGCATAAGAGTGGGCATCACGTTCACAACAACATCTTTGTCAACCAACACCCTTTACGCTGGTACTTTATCAATCTTAGCTTTTATGTACAATGGCCTGAGATGTCGAAGCATCTTTGCATCCGACTCATTGAACACCATTACTCGACTTGGTTCCCATTGTTATGAGTATGACTTATTTGTATTCTGTTTTCCCCTCTCTCTATGGAGTAGAACTATCTCTCACTTGGGTATGAAGAACCCTAGGTCCATGTGTTAGGGATTTTGATTGTAATGACTTGGGATTGTTATACTGTTTGATTATAATCGAATGATGCATGATTCATTGAATTAATTGAAGTCTGATCAGCTTTTCTTGATTTCTGCTGCAACCTGAGATAGATAGAATCTGATTAGGTTGTTAGAGCTTCATCATTCGGTAGTAGTGGATTGGTTATACGAGAGTTAGTGAATCTGCTGCTTTGTACTGGAATCCAATTCCAGTAGTGGAGTTCTGTGTTCATAGCCTCAGCTTCCTATTCCGGTGAAGACTAGTCGTCTACCGGGTAGTTGGACTGAGAGGGCTTGGTAAGCTTAAGAGATTCCAAGCTACTGTCGGATCTTCCACAGTTTAATCAACAGTAAATCAACCCAGGGTAATTACAACGGAGACCTAACTAAGGAGCTAGGGGGACTCATTCCCGAGTGACTCTTCCTTTGCTTCAGAAAACCGAACCAATTCCTGTTTTCTTACTGCTTTTACTTTAATCAACAATCACTTGACTTAGTTAGCTAGATAATAGATATTCACGGAGTAGGCAGTAGATCTAGACCCCGGGTTGATAATAGAACTTGCCACTTTACTGCATTCCCGGACTGCGATTATACTTGGTCAGTTTGGTGTTGTGTTTTAGCGTGTCATGACCCCAATAGCAAATGGTTTGGTGTCAACTCGTACCACTTCGACCACACCATCCTTGTTTTAGAATATTAAAACTGGTGCAGCGATGACGGCACACACTTATTATAACATGTATCCAGTCTCTACCAAGCAAAGCGTTGTAGCTAATTGCTCCATCAACAACAAAGAAAGAAGTCATTCTTGGCTACCCATTCTTACAACTACTGGTAGTATCCCCTTTGCAGTGGTGGAACCACCAATGAAGCTGGTAACAAACACTTCCGTTGGGATGAGATCACTTGTACTTTTTCCCAACTTCCTGAGCATACGTGTGGGCATCACGTTCACAACAACATCATTGTCAACCAACACCCTTTACTCTGGTACTTTATCAATCTGAGCTTTTATGTACAATGGCCTGAGATGTCGAAGCATCTTTGCATCCGACTCATTGAACACCATTACTCGACTTGGTTCCTCAACTATTGATTGTTCAACGACAACCTCTTTCCCCTTTCTTGTTTCCACATGCATAACACTCTTTTCATCTAGCTTCTCTTCGATAACCACATAGTTATCTTCTTCCTCAAATTCTGAACCCCATTTAGAATTCTCAATAGGAAGGCTTGTGGATCTTTCCTTGGTACAATACGTAGTAGGGATACCGACCATCATCCTCACCAAGTACTCCCACATATTTGTGTCCAACCTCGTACAATTCCCTTAGGATTTGTTGAGAATTCTTGTGTTGCCTTGTTGTCTCACCAGACAAGTTGATTCTTTCTCCAGTATGGGCCATCATGACACTCCACAGATCATCCTCCAGTGCCAAACTTGCAAACTCAGTAACCAGTTCATAAATGGGTGACTCTTCATCATCTCCATCCAAATCTAGCTCGGAAAATCCATCAGCCAACTCTGCAATGGAAAATCCATCAGCCAACTCCACTTCAAATTCACCATATCCTCTTTCACCATCCATTTCAAAGTGCAAAATCATTGGCAAAATGTAGTTATTCACCACAACAGGTGGCAAACTACCAAACTTGATGGTTGTGGACGTGTTATGATCATCATCCTCATCATCATTGTTCTTTCGGTCAAACTTTGATGTTGGATATTTTGACTCTAGCATCTCTTCTTTCATAAATGACTCATCCAGCTCTGCATCATACCCATAATTTTCTAGGGCTTCATCATTCTTATTTGCACTCTTGCCACTGTCAGGCACCGTGATCTTGAGACCAATGACAACAGAGTTGTTCACACGAACATTGATATGCGAAGGAACCTTCTATACTATTGACACGCTAAAACACAACACCTAACAATGGCCAAGTGTAACCAATGAAAGGGACTGCAGTATAGTGGCACAAGTAATAAATATCGAATCCACGGGTCTCTAGAGTTACTATTACTCAGCTTCAGTTCATTATCTAGCAAACTAGATTAAGGATTGATTTACTAAACTACTCTACTAATTACAAGTTGGGAACTCACTTAGGTATGATTCCCCCTAGCTCCTCAATTAGGTCCAAGTTGCAATTACCTTTGGTTGATCTACTGTTGATTAAACTGCGGAAGATCCTAAATTAGCTTGGAATCTCTTAAGCTGACCAAGCCCTCTCAGACAGAATACCCGGCAGGTGACTAGCCTTCACCGGGATAGACTGCTAAGGCGATTCACACAGATCTCCACTACTGGAATGAATTCCAGTACAAAGCAGTAAATTGATTGACTCTCGCACAACCAATTCACCACTATCAATCAAGGAAGCTCTCTTAACCTAATCAGATTCTATCTATCATAGGTTAAAGCAGAAATCAAGAGAATTTGATCAAGATTCAATTGACTCAATAAATCATGCCTCAATCGATTTTAATCAAACAATAAAGCATCCAAAACTTCATATAAGAAAGATCCTAACTCATGGAACTAGGGTTCCTCAAAACCTAAGTGAAGGGAAGTTACTCCATAGAGAAGAGAGAGACTGCAGAAATCTGATCTAGATCTTCAATCTCCATCTCCAAGCTTGATTCCTGAGCTCCAATGGCGAAGAAATCCTCCAAAATAGCTCCAAGAATGTTCCCAAGTCGCTCTCTCTCTCTAGGGTTCGTCCCTTGGGTGTTTGGGATCCAAAACCCAGCTCTCCTCCTTTCCTTTCGCTGAAAATCGGGTTTTAAACAACAATTCCCGACTCGCACGGCCAGGGTGCACGGCCGTGCACATCACCATTCTGGCCGTGCACCTCAAAACGCGGCGTATCAATAAGTCGAACCTCAACCAACTCGCACGGCCAGGATTGCACCTTGCACGGCCGTGCGGATTTCACTTGTGCCCGTGCGTGCCCACGCACCAACCCGCACGGCCAAAATTGTATGTTGCACGGCCGTGCGTGGCCACGCACAATCCCGCACGGCCAGAATTATATGTTGCACGGCCGTGCGCCTCCCTGGTCTGCCCGTGCAGCTTGCTCAGCCTCTGTTTAATGCTTCGTTTCTCCCTCGTCCGGACTCCGAATCAGTCGCCGTTTGATCCCAGACGCTCGTAGTCTCGTCCTCTTTCGTTTCATAACAAGCTTGCATGATTCTCTGTCCATAAAGTGAGGTAGAAATCCATTCTTCTTCAGGTCATGCCCGAGTGTCTTCTCCCAAATCGTCAATTGATCTCTGATCGACTTGAAACTTGCGCCTATGCTTCACTTTATGTGCTAGGACCTGAAATGTGACAAAGGAACACAACCTAGCATAAAATCGGCCAAAGACACGGTAATTCAAGCTCAAACAATCAAGAAACAAAAGGGGAAAACATGTTCAAATACCGAGTCATCAAATCCCCCCACACTTAACTGTTTGCTTGTCCCCAAGCAAACCTAACTCAAACCAATGCAACTCTCCAGACCTCTATAGCAACAAACAACCTCGATCGTAGGTAGCGGACTTCCTAGATCATTTAGCAGCTTACGAGGTCAACCGACGCACAAGTCATCTCATAGCCTCTTCGGCGAGAACGCTAGTCTCGAGTCGGCATCATGGCAAATAGTGAACAGAGGACAAATGAATCGTGGATGAAGAGACTCTCAAAAACAAAAGATCATGGACTCACATTTTTCAAGGTGCTCGATTTTCTTTTTGGAGATGGTTGGAGCCCCTTTTCTTTCTTCTTTTTGCTTGTTTTTCTGTTTTTCTCTTTTCTTTTTCAAGGGTTCCAACCTGTTTTTGCAGAAAACGAGGGCTCCCACCTAGCAAAGGTTTTGCGGGAGCCCGGCTCTTACCGGCCATGCCAGGAGCAGTTGTCTCGAGCCTCGTGCGGGGGAAAGACATGTAAGGGGGCTGGAGGTAGTAGGTGGAAATTGGGAACGGATTCCCGTCTCCCCTTACACACTTTCGCCCTATTCGTACGGGAGACGTCATTTTAAAGCGCATTTTCGAGCACCTGTTATTT